GAGAGAGAGAGAGAGAGAGAGAGAGAGAGAGAGAGAGAGAGAGAGAGAGAGAGAGAGAGAGAGCAAAGGACCCCTTCTACATATATCAGAGGGACCCTGCAGGTAATGTGAAGGGTCTTCGCAGAAATAGCATAGACCCTCCACAAAGTCGTGAGAGAGAGAGGTTGAGTATGAAGTGGAGCAGGAGCTGGCCGAATATATACTTTGAATTCGGGTCTGTGTTTCAGCAGTTATGGGTTGCTGCCTTAGCTCTCTGCACGTGATTCTCAGAGCTTCGCTGCACTACTCACCAAATGTGCAAAATTATAACGAATCTTCTGCTAGGTCATGGAACCATAGGCTGTCATATGTTTTGTCTTTTGTGCATGTGGTGAGTAGAGGCCCTTAGGACCATTACACATCCAGATCTGAATTCGAATCCAGACTATATATTCTCGGCCCACTCAACCAAACCTCAAATCCTAACGCCCATCTCTGTTTCGTGATGGATCCTTAGATTCCTTACTGAATCACCGTAGGGGCGCTTCGGAAAAGAGACTGGACACAAATAGGACATGCACACCCACACGCACACACATACACACAGTTTTGGGGTATGATGTGGCCCCAACATCTTTTCCTCTTGCAGTTTGATTTTTAGAAGCGAGGGGCATGTTTGGCCACCCCACCTTGTCCTATCGGAGTTTTTTTTGGTTTTTTTGGGGTGTTGCGTCGCATCACGTGTGCTCTGCGCCGCAAGTGCCGCGACCTCGCACACGGGACGCACCGCAAGTATGATATATATTATATACTCATTAGAGACGAGCTCAAACTGTGAAAACACATCTAGACAGAGTGATTCAATACTAACAGTGTGTGAGCATGTTAAACGGTTTTATACCACCATTACAGCGCCAGCTAGCTGCAAGCAGCTGCCAATTACCATTGCGACGTGGAAAGGCTCTGTCTACCAGACCAAAAAGGCTGCCAGAGCCCAATAACCCCTTGCCCAATGGCGTTCGGCAGCAGGCAAAATCACAGAACGGGAAAAATGGCTCAGAGATATGCTGGTGGTTTAAACCACCAGTTCACAGCCTATGCAGTGTTCATCTTTCACCGCCGACGAGTACCTTGCCTGAGCCATTCCGCCCAGGGCCAATAGAGACTTTGCAGGCTTGCAGTGTTGGGCCCAAAAAAAATCAGCTGCCGGACTACCGGGTACAACGGTAGGGCGACAGCTGATATGAAAACAGGCTGCTGGTCCAAAACATGAGGTGCGATGCCGCGGGGGAAGAAAAAAAAACTGAACTCAGAAATTTGTCGTGACATTGGGCCTCGTTCCACTACTCACAAAAAGTGCAAACTGAAATGTATCTTCCACCAGAAGATGGGAAGATACGCCACCATAATTTTTGCTTTTTGCGCATGTGACAAGTAGTGGAGCGAGGCCCATTGGCCGTTGCTCTCTCTCTCTCTCTCTCTCTCTCTCTCTCTCTCTCTCTCTCTCTCTCTCTCTCTCTNGTTACAGAAAATGGTTATTAAGTAATATTAACTCAAATATAGTTACACACAAAGCCAGAAAATGGTTACAGAAAGTAGTTATGAACGAACTCAGAAACGATTTCAGAAAATGGATACTAACTCATAGGGCTACTAACAGAGACCAGAAAATGGTTTAAAAAACGGTTACAGAAAATTATTACTAACTTGCGTGGTTACTTGCTAACAAACCCAGAAAACTGTTACAGAAAAAAATGGTCACTAACTCACATGGTTACTCACAAAGCCCTGCTTAAACCACTAGTACCTTTGTCGGTTCGGAAAATAGTGCGCCTCAACCTTTCAGGAGGAGGCCGAAACGAAACGTCCGACCTTTCAGGAGGAGGCCGAAACGAAACGAAACGACGGCCGCCGATCAGATTTATCAACGGAGGCCGTTGTCGGGCCCGGCCTCCTAAAAGTTCGGGACTAGACCAAAACTTGTCGAAACCGGACAGCAAAGCTACTAGTGGTTTAAGAAAACAGTTGCAGAAAATTGTCACTAACTCACATGGTTACTAACACTCCCAGAAAATGGTTACTTACTCACATGGTTACCGACACACCCAGAAAACGTTTACAGATATAGAGAAAATCGTTACTAACACACCCAGAAAATGGTTCCTACCTCACATGATCACTAACACAGCCAGAAACTGGATACTAACTCACATTGTTACTAAGTTACTAACACAGCCAGAAAATGGTTACAGTGAATGGTTACAGAGAATGGTTACAGAGAATGGTTACTAACTTGTTTGTCAGTGACCAACTTCATGCAGGAAATGGCTACTCCTCACAAACAAAGAACCGGACTTGCATGAGATGCCCAAACACCCGAAGACCATCAAAATTCACTACATGCAACTCATCACGGCTCTGCAAACACAAACGCAACAGCATGAAAGACTGAGCAACTCTCCTCCACTGAGAAACGAAGTACCCCACTCTTAATATGTCAGCAACCAAACAAGGAAGTTACCTTCCTCTCTCTCTCTCTCTCTCTCTCTCTCTCTCTCTCTCTCTCTCTCTCTCTCTCTCTCTCTCTCTCTCTCTCTCTCTCTCTCTCTCGGGTATGACTTGACAAATGCCCACAGCCCGCAGGGGCGAGCGCCAGGAACAGAAAAACAGAAAACATGAAACATCATCAACCCCCCGACGACAGCTGGTACTACTACTACTACCATCTCTCTCTCTCTCTCTCTCTCTCTCTCTCTCTCTCTCTCTCTCTCACACACACACACACACACACACACACACACACACAGAGGGTGTTTTGGTAGGTGATTCTTGGCAACACACTCACACACAAACACAAAGACACACAGCACACACAGAGACACACACAACACACACTCACACGCACAGAACATGGTAATGATTCACACAGGGAAGTTCATGCTGTATGAACAGCCTCTGCAGATTATGCTGACATAAGGAACACAGCATAAAAGGAGCCAAGGGCATTCCAACCTCATCTGAATCAACGGATCAGATATAATGAGCCACCAAAGCAGCATGAAAATGCAGTACTCATCCACTCCACTTTCATACGAAACAGGGAGACGAAAAGTTGAGAACACATAAACCATACCCTGCAGCTCCATAAGAAACACGAAGATGATGACAACAAAAAAAAGTATTGGCGTTACTCACCAGCTTCGTGTCATCTTTACTCGGGCTTCCAGCTGGCTGTGTCTTCTGGATGCTTACCAACATTCTCCCCTTCTCTGCCTCATCAACTTGGAGTTCCTTCTTCTCTTCATGTCCCTTGAGAATTGTTTTCACTGTTCTGAACCAGGATTCACAATGACGCAGAGTCAAACGTTTTTCCCTCAGTTCCGACTAGATATCAAAGGCGGGAAGTTTCGGGGAAAATGAATTCAACCATCCGACCCCAAACTCAGACATTCAGAAAAAGAAAAAACGAAAAAAAGGAAAAAAGAAAAAAAGAAAAAAAGAAAAAAAAGAGCTTGAGCCTTGTGTCAGCTGACCCACACGTATTTGTAGACAGTTTTATCGATTTGATGATCTGAAAAGATTATGTATGATCTACGCCTTCACATAAGTCACAGATTTCAGGATTCAAAGTTGAATTCCTGGCTGACCCGGACGAGTGACTGTACATGGGCTGGTCAAGATTGAACCTGGTTCCAAAGGAGGTCCCAGGCCGAGTTGTCGGAACCTGTCTGGACCAGGCGGCAGACAAAGAACCAACTGCTTTCTCAGACATTCCTTCCCTACTTTTTGTCACTAATTTGGTTTAGAACTTGGGACTCGGGAGCATCAAGCTCGCCTGCCATCCAAAGTTTTTTGTAAATTCAACTACTCTTGAGTCTACACAATCATTCATGCAATAGTATTTATACTATTTTCTCGTTTTCTACAGTTCCATGACATGGATCTTTTCAGAATTTCTTGGATTCCAGCGCCAGTCGGAGCATTTTTAACAGCACATTTGGCGACATACGGCCCTTCCTTTGCTATGTTGGCTTTCCTGTGCTGACTCTGGGGGTCCTTCCAACCTATCACTCTGTACAGCCTTGCACCTGTTGTGGGTAAGACCGCTACACCGCTTCTTTTTCGATTCCCTGCACGTGACAGACAGCCCCCTACAGGCTACAGTACTGTTTTTATATTTTCTCCAAGTACTGGCACGTAGTATTTTCAAGAGAGGTGGTTGGTCTACGCCCATCCAGTTTATTATGCCTCTTTTACTAGGCTCAAGATCGGTTAGACCACTCGTTACGATTTCCTGCCGATGACAGAGACCCCAATCGGTTGCACCACTCATTTTTATTTCCTGCAAATGATGGACAGCCCACTACAGCACCCAAGTAGACTTTTCGAGGGCAGTGGTCGGTTTATGCCCTGTTCGTTTATTATGCCCCTTTAGTTGGGGTCATGATCTGCTACACCACTCATTTTGATTTCCTGCAAAAGACAGATAGCCCATCATAGTACTGCTTTGATTTTTTTTTGACAAGTAGTCTTTTTGAGGCCTGTGGTTGTGTTGCGACCCCCCCCCCCTCCCCCACACCCTTTAATTCGGGTCAAGACTTTGGGCCTGCTACTCTATGTGACCTAGAACCCCAAAAATGATTCCCAGACCCTGCCATAAGCTCTCCCCTACCCCCCCGCCCCCTCCCCCCCCTTCACCCCCAACCCTGAACCTAAAACGTGTATCTGATGGGCTTACCATGAGATGGACGGCGGCAGTTGGTGGTATTGCGATCCCATGGTTTAGAAGATGCATATCATTGATGCCTTGGGTATTACTAGCTACAGCTTGTAATCCCAAGGGCAAAAAAACGCCATAGATTCAGAAGGCATGACACCATTTGCTTTCCTAATGATTCTTTCCCTCCCTGCCTGCCTCCCTCACTCCCTCCCATTCCTCGATTGCAGGTGCAGAAAAGAAATACCTCTGCTTGTCCCCCTCTTTGTCTTGCTTGTACTCTTCAGTGCAAAAAAATGCCATAGTTTCAGACGGCATGACACCATTTGCTTTCCTAATGATTCTTTCCCTCCCATTTGCTTTCCTAATGATTATTTCCCTCCCTCCCTCCCTGCCTCCCTTCCTCCCTTCCATTCCTCGATTGCCGGTGCAGAAAAGAAATACCTCTGCTTGTCCCCTTTTTTGTCTTGCTTGTACTCTTCAGTGTCACTTCTCTCCTCCGCTTCTATCCTGCCATTAAAAAAAAACGATTAACAAACAAAACAAAGACTGTTGATATTTACCGGGCCGGTTCTCCTCTTCTCTTTTTTCCTTCTCTGTTACAGACTTACAAATCCTGTCCTCTTTGTTTCCTTTCTCGGACCATTTCTCAAACTCGCAGGGGCCATGCTAATCTTCTCCGTATCGTTTCAATTGTAACTGACGTCCCGAGGGACGGGGCTCGTTTCCTCCTTTGTTCTTCCTTTCTTTGAGGGCATGGCCAGAGAGAAGGCAGGGGGCAGAGGGAGGAATGCTGGGTGGGTGGGATCGTGAAGAGGCATGGCTACCCTCAGTTTTTATTTGCCTCGCAAAACAAAGAAATAGCAAGCCTTGCAGAAAAGTATATTCCCAAGCAAGCCTCTCTCCCTGTGAACATGGCCCCTCTGCTTGCAGCCCTTCAAAGCCCCTGTTAAAATCTCTCTGTTGTTTTGAGCTCAACCAACTGACCAAGCACTGAGCAACCAACCAACCCAGCTACCAACCAATCAGATCAATCGCCGACCTGACGGGACTGGTACAAACCAGTCCAACTAACTGCATTCCCACTGGACCCGACCAGTTCGGACCGGACCAGTATGCGCCAGACCAACCAACTCTGTCCGTTCTTTCTGCGGCCGACCAGCCAAGCCGGAGGTGACTGAACCTGACCAGCCCGATCTGGACCAACCAACCAGATCCAACTGAACCTGACCAGTCTGGAGTCTGGACTGAACCCACTGACTGGTTCCAACCAGACCTGCTTAATTTGGAGAAATCGATCTAACCAAACTGGACTGGATCTGACCAAACTGGACTCAACCAACCGACAGTACCTGACCAGTGTGGACCAGACCAACCAGCTGGATCAAACCAGACCTGACCAGTCGGGACTGAACCAACCAGCTGGATCCAACCGAAAAAGACCATTCTGGACCTGACCAAGCTGGTCCGAAAAAACTGGCTGTATCCAAACCAGACCTGACTAATCAGGACCTGACCAACCTGCACAGGATTCTGATGAAACCGGACTGGACCAGCGGACAGCAGCTGACTGGGTTGGACCAAACCAATCGGCTGGATCAAACCAGACCTGACCGGTCAGGACTGGACAAACCAACTGGATCCAATGGAACCCAACTCGTCCGGACCTGACAAGTCTGAACTCAGCCAACTCACTGGATCCCACCAGACGCAACTCACCATAACCTGACACAGGATCTGACCAAACTGGACCCGACCAACTGACAGCATCTGACCAGCCTGGACCAAATGAACCAGCTCGATCAAACCGGACCCGAGCGATCTGGGCTGGACCAAGCAACTGGATCCCACCGAACCTCACTGGTCTGGACCGGACCAACCAACTCGACTTGACCGGTCTAGACTGGAGTAAATGTGTGAACCAAATGTCTGTCTGCTCACACATCTACTCCACAGACAAGGTATCAAGTTCCAACTGCACTCACATTCAACAGGTCTGATGGCCAAATGGTCTCTTTAAAAAAAAAAAAAAAAAAAAAAAAAAAAAAAACTAAGCTATATTCTTCATGCGTATACCTCACTCTACCTAACCTCTCGCCTAAGTCCAGGTTTCGCATTTTGATTGTTGCAGCATATCGCAAACCGGGGCGCCCCTAAGAGTTATGGGTTGGCACTGACCTCTGCCCCTGTCTATAAGCACCGCAGCTTCTTCCTAAACTCAGGCAATTGATGGGAGGGAACGGCAAACCCTACCAAGCCCTACCAGGGTTGGGGTCGAGCCAACTAACTCAGCTGGTGAACCCGTAGCGAGCCAGAGGCGGCTGTGGGGGCTCCAAATGAAGACCGAGGGAAGTCGAACCGACGACCTCCTGAATGCCACTTTCGTGCTCTACCAACTGAGCTAGGTCGCCGAAATGGCCTTTAACGTATAGCACAAATTGAGCCTTGTTATTGGTACACGCATAGCATACTTGCACGGCTAAGGCAGATACCATACAGCTTTGACCCAGCCTGAGTAATGCATGCACACTTCATCGAATGCGTGACCACACCGCATGCTGTTCTCCGTGCTACCTTTGCCTGAGCCTGCTCTGCCATTTGAATTTTGAACTATATTCATGCCGAGCCATGACACAAAGAAAGCGAACAAGAGAATAAATACAGCTGATTTACTGAAAACTGTCAGTCACACCACTACGCACGCACGCATTGCTCGATGCTGCCTGGTTAGTACTCTCTGTTAGAGACCCCTCCTTGGCTCTCCCTAACCAGAGTTAACAAGCTATACAGAGATTAGAGAACCCCGTGGCTATCCCTAACCAGAGATAACAAGCTATACAGAGATTAGAGAGCCCCTTGGCTATCCCTAGCCAGAGTTATAGCTTGGCTATCCCTAGCCAGAGTTAACAAGCTACACAGAGATTCGCCTTCACCCACAAAAGAACGAAAAATTGTCAAAGGAAGAATCAGAAGTTCAGAACCATAACTCAAGGCAAAATTGCGGATGTAAGTCTACGGTAGTCTCCGGCTATGATTGACCCTACTCCCCCCCCSCCCGCCCGCCCGCACGCCCTTGAACCAAAAATCTGACATTACACATGATTACATCATTGCAGACAATTTAAAACAAACAGCACCACAGTACAGTAAATGAGTACATTCTGAGGTAGTACGTGTTTCCTTTCCCTTTCTTTGTTTGTTTGTTTTTTAACCTTTTCTTTACACCATTTTTTTTGTTTTGTTTTTCAACTTTTCCTCGATCTATGTGTGTCATCCTTGGGCAGAAGCTATGCTAATATTCTCCGTATCGTTCCCATTCCGACGGAAGTCCCGAAGTATTTTTTTTGTTTTTGACACAACTGCCTTGACCTTTCTTAATTTCCTTGGCCCAAATTTGCCAGCGAACTTTGTGTGTGTGTCTTTGTGCATGGTTGTGTGTTTGTGTGTGTGTGTGCTCTTGTCCGTGTACCTACCTTGGGCGTTTCTTACTCGACTTCTCTGAGTGCGAGCTACGGTGCCCCGTGATGTCCTGCAATTGTTTACAACTACGCTCAGCATGCGCTTCTTCCACGAGATCTTTCTTCTTCTTCTTCTCCCTGGGAAAAACAAACGCAGCGAAAATTGCCATAAGCTGCATGATAATCTTCTTTTTCTGGTAATTGACTGGTCGGTCTCATTGAAGACAACTCCCAATTTCTCGCAAAAAACTTGCACACGTTAGTAACATATTAAAAATTAAAAGTGGTTAGGCACAAGCATTTTCACTAACACAGCCAGAAAATGGTTACAGAAAATAGTTACAGAAAATAGTTACAGAAAATAGTTACAGAAAATGGTTACAGAAAATGGTTATTAAGTAATATTAACTCAAATATAGTTACACACAAAGCCAGAAAATGGTTACAGAAAGTAGTTATGAACGAACTCAGA